AAATGAGCCAGTGAGTGGAATTCCAAGTGTGAAAAACCCATAAAAATATGATTTCTTGTATTTTTATTAGTTTCTAGAAGTTTCAAGAGTTCTAATATGGTATCAAAAAGTTTTAATAACACATAATTAACATTTGGGCTATTCTTCACAAATTCCTATAAGTTACTTTTTAAAAATCTCCCAATAATTCTTTAAAAATCAGTGTTTTCAGGAAGACACTTTGCCCTCGATGGGACTATCACCCAACGTCTCCCCAACAAATGCCTGTTTAGCTGTGTGCTTTTCAGAAGGAATGGACAGTTGTACAAAGCTAATGCTCAATAGAAACATCAGCAATTTCTCTTTCACAGTGAACAAAGTAAAACCACTCCAGGCACCAAGAAAAAAAAAAAAGTTGTTTTAAGTTACTTGATTTTTAAAAATACCTGCGATGATTTTACAACCACCTTTTAAACTTAACCTATTCATATGACGAACTTTTAGATTTAGAGAAAGACACCATGAACCAAAAACTGTCTATGCTTCAGGGCCGCTGGCAAGTACCAGACCACACCACCGCAGGAAATCAAGCTGGACTAGAAAGTAGAGGACAGAGCCAGGTCACATTCTGCCCTGCCCAGCTGTGTGATCCAGCCAGCCATGCACCTCTTCTCACTTTGGGCTCCCCATCTTTAAACTGAGTCAAAATACCATTAATTCTATTTTGTTCCTCCCAGCTCTGAGTGTCTACTCTTGAAGCCAAAATGAGAAGATGGACTCATTATGTGTAAGTCACATTTTAGTATCAATTAAAAACGTTTGAAAGAATCTCAGAAGACCACTATCACAAGCACCGAATCAAAATGGGCCTCCGTGTCAATTAGTGAAATGTTAGAGTTCTGGTACGGGTCTGTCTTGTTTTGCCAGTGCAGCTTTATTACTTACCTCTAAATGTGCTCCCTCTAATTCTCATTTTCTAACTTTCTCCTTTCAGAAGGACACTGTTCCAAGTCTTTGCAAATGTGAAAATGAGAAGAGGTCATTCTCCCCGCTCATTCAGGGTCATGGGCATCTTTGTTTGCACAATAGTTAAAATTGGTTTCTTTGTGCTTGCTAATGACTAACCTCAAACTGAATTAACATAATTAGTATTAAATTTAAATGGCAAGTTCTATATGATGTTTTAAATTTAAAGGCAAACCCGAAATTTAAGGGTTTAAGAGTTCCAACAACTAACTGCCCCCCCCCAAAAAAAAATAAATCAGAAAATATGTATCAGTGTAAATTCTAAACTAGAAAATCCCAATCTTATCTTACTTCATTTTTGGAAACTCGAGTCATTTTAATTCACAAACCTTAATATTCCTTTGACTGAAGCCTACAGGAAATAAAACAACTCAAAAGATAACCTATGAATTTTATACGAGTATTCTGAAATTGTTAGTAATAGCCAAATCCAACAATAGAGTTCCTGGCTGCATTTAAACAAAAACATTTCCTAACAAGACTGCTCACAAGGGCAGTGGCCTTTGCTCTTAAATGACATTTTTTTAAAAAGGCAGTGTAATGACTGCAGCTAAAAATCTACCAAACTACCACATATACAGAATTTGTATTCTGACCTTTGTATTAGAACAGTTTTTTTTTTTTGTTTTTTTTTTTTGTTTTTTTTTTTTTCCTTTAATGCTTGGGGACACAGAAAGAGTTTGAGCTTTTCTTGGGTCTTATTTACATACACTAGCTAGGAATATCATGAGCCTATTTTCTTCTCTAAGCTACATTATAGAAGATGATATAGATAGATGGAGACTATCTTCCATAATGATGCACCCACTGGGGATAGGTGTATCAAATGAGACTTCGTGTTTACCCTACAGATGAAGGCTAGGACAAAACTGGCCTTAGGGAAAACAAATGCTGGGTCTGATTTAGGGAAGGATATCTGCCTGAAGAACAGAGGGGAAAATCTTCGAGGGTCTAACAAATACAACCCAGGGGCAAATGCATATTTACATGCTGCACTGTTTTGTTTTGGACTTCTTGAAAGAACAGGTCAGGTGCTAAGGCAAGACTAGAGCATGTGCCTCCTGTAACGTCAAGCAAGGACAGGAGGGTATGGAAAAAGCTGCCTCGCGCTTCTCCAGGCTGGCGGCAGCGCTCTGGGTCATTCACAAAGAGCAGAATCTAAGTTACCTGTATTTCCCTGGCGTGGTACACGATGATCAGCCCGAGCAGGATGATTGTGGAGAGACTGATAAGGCATTTCAGAGCTAAGGAATACAGTGACGCCTGCAACACAGTCAGACAGAAGCACTTTTAGGAAACCAGTACTTTTAACCACCTTCCAGGACCAGGACCACCCCCACCCCCCACCCCCGCCCCCAACGCCGGAGTGGGGGTCGGTCAGTCCCCGGCCTGTGAGGTTGAACTCCCAGGAGGAGGAGGAGGGGAGCACCTGTCTTGGCCCTGTGATCTCTCAGATCACTTGGCCTCAGAGGGCAGTGAGAGGAGAGCGGGGGCAGGCGGAGGGCCGGGCGGCGCGTCGGGGCCATCACAGGCTCCAGCACCGATCCCGGGCTCTTGAAGCCCAGCGGGAGTTAATCCCGAGTTTAAGCGCCCTGGCTTGAAAGGGTCTCCTAAATCCCGAGCACCTGGAAAGGAAAACAGCGAGGCCCGCCCGCCTCCCGGAGCCAAATATCTGATGTCCCCCACGCGCTGGACGCTCCCTGCCTTCAGAACTTTGGCTGCGCGCGGAAAGGCTTTCGGCCGAGAGCTGCCCCGCGGCGCGGCTCAGGGGTGCGCGCCCGAGCGGTGCTCGCCGTCCCGGCGGGCGGGCGGGCGACTCCGACCGTCCCGGGGGGCTCGGGGCTGGCGGACAGGGAGTTCCCACCAGGGCCCGTCCCAATCAGCCGGCCCCCGGCCCCGGAACGCTGGGCGCGGGCTCGAGCGCCTACCTTGTCGTAGGCGCCCCACGACAGCTCGGTCTCGATGACCATGACCACGATGCCGAACATGCCGAAGATGAGCGCGTAGTCGCTGAGCCGCTTGCGCTTCTCGAACAGGGCGCGCCGGTGGCCCAGCTTGTAGCCGATGTTCTGGTTCTTCTTTTTGCTGGACTTGGCGCCGCTGCTGCTGCCATGCCCGCTGCCGCCGCCGCCGCCGCCTCCAGCGCTGCCGCCGCCGCCGGCTCCGTAGATCGCCAGGTTATTGGAGTTGTTGTGCTCCGGCTTGGACACCACGATCTCCGGGGCTGAGGACGAGGCGGCGGCGGCGGCGGCGGCGGCGGCTGCAGACGGGGAGGACGCGCCGCCGCCGCCGCCGCCGCCGCCGCCGCCTCCGACCGGCGCGGGGGGCTGTAGGGGCTGCGCCTCCGAGTCCATCTCGTGCAGGTTCCGGCGGGACGCGCTCAAGTTGCTGAGCGGCCGCATGACGCCCCCGTTGTACCTGCAGCTGCTCATGGCTATTTCGGTGAAGGGGTTGCTTTCGCGGCGCGCCTGGGGCTGGTGGTGCTGGTGGTGCGCCGGGTGCGGGGGGGGGTGGTGGTGCGAGAGCGGGGGCCCGGAGCCCAGGCTGCCGAGGCTGCCCGTGGGGCTGGCGGCGGGCTGCAGGCTGTGGCACTGGTGGTACTGGGAGGCGGGCGCCGGCTGCTGCGTGTGCTGCTGCCGGAGCGCACTGGCATGGCTGGACGGCGTCAGCTCGCTCACATTGAGCTGGCTGCCCCGGCGCGACGAGCAGCAGCAGCAGCACGACGAGCCCGACAGCGGGGAAGAGGCGCGGGTCCGGAAGGCGCCGCCGGGCGAGGAGGTGCGGAGCAGCAGGGACAGGTTATCCCCCGCCCCCGCCCCCGCCGCCGGGGCGCCGGAGGAGGCGCAGCTGTTGCACCGGAGGCATGGGCTGCTGCCGCCGCTGCCCGGCTGCTGGTGCGCGAGGTGCGGGTGGTGCTGAGCGTGCGGGAGGGACGCGAAGGGCGGGCACGGCTTGTCCTGGCTCTGCTGCTGCTGCTGCTGCTGCTGCTGCTGGCAATGCAGGTGTGAAGAGCGCGGCGGCGGCGGCTGCTCTGAGAAGAAGCCGCGCTGGAACTGCAATGGGGTTTCCATGTCGGGGCTGTTAAAGCTGCAGGGAGACCAGGCGGTGGTGCACCCTGCGCAATGCGTTATGGTCGGGAGCGGGGACTCCTGCTGCTGGTGCGAGGAAGGGCCCATGCCGGCTCCGGTAGAATCCAGGCGGCGAGTCCGATTGGTCGCGCGCACCAAAACAATGGGCATGACATCACCTGCGGGGACCGAGACGGAGTTGCGGCGCGCGGCTTCGGGGAGCGCGTGTGTGACAGCGAGGCGGGGAGGGGGGGGGGGGGAGGGGGGGTCTGCAGGATGGGAAGGAACCTGCTGGTCGGGAGCGCCGGGGAGCACCACCCGGGCCGGGCGGCAGGGGCTAGCCGGGGACAGGGGCGTCCCCGCTCCCGCCCGCCCGCCCGCCCGCCTCCCTCCGTCCCTCCGTCCCTCCCTCCGTCCCTCCCGCGCCGCCGCCCCCCTAGCGAGGGCCGGTCACCCGCGCCGGCCGCTGCAGCACGTCGGGCCACCCCGCCGCGGGCCCTGCCTCTCGTCCGCCCGCCCGCGCGCGCCTCGCCGGGCCTCACGCCCACCTCGGCCCGGTCGCCCCGCGGGGAGTGGGCCGCCGGCTGCCGGCTGCCGGCCAGAGGCCTGCGGGGGCACCCTCCCGGGAGAGACAGAGTTCGGCGACTCGCTGCGCCAGTGCGGCAGGGCCCTGGGCCGGCGGCCGCGAGCTCCGAGCGGGCCCCACGCCGCGAGCGTCCCCGGCCGCTGGGCTCCTCGGGATCCGCGTGGCCGCGCTCCGGCCCGAGTGCGCCGCGGCGCGGGGAGGGTTAACCGCCTGCGCGCCCGGGCCGGGGGAGGGTGGGGGCGGGGCCGGAGGAGGGGATCCCCGCCGTCCGCGGGCGGAGCCGGCGCGGGCTTCCCGGGTCCCCCTGGCGGGGGCGGAGGGCTTTCCCCGCTACCGCGGGCTCACACCGGCGCCTGCTGCCGTACGCGAGGGGCTGGCGCCCCCGGCCGCCGGGCTCCCGCGCTCCCGGGCTCCCGCGCTTCCCGGCTCCGGCGCTCAGGCCCTCCGGCCGCCCCGGTGGGTAGGTGCGCGGGCTTCTGCGGCGGCGGAGCGGCGGCTCGCTCGAGGGGCTGGGGGCTGCTCCGCGGCCGCCCGCCGCCGGCGTCTCCTCTGTGCTCTTCCTCCTCCCCACCTGCAAAGCACAGACACCAAGTAAAGGCGGGTCTCGGCGGCGCCCAGCGAGCGCCTCCTCGGCTCGGCCCGGCCCGGCCCGGCTCGGCTGCGGCGGCTGGTGGGCGAGGGGCCTGGCGCGGGCGGAGTCGCGGGGCTGCGAGATCCTCCGTAACCGAGACCCCGGCCGAGTGTCCACGCCGGGGCCAGTGCCGGGGCTTGCGAGAGCTCGCTAAGAATCGTCTACTTTCTGATGAACCAATAAAAATTGCATTTTGTGTTCTCAACGAATTCCCTGCAGTGTCTCCTCTTAGGGGATATACCAACCCGGAGCGGCAGGGGACCCTTTGCTCCTGCTCCTGCTCCACCTTGGGTGCTTCTCGGTCGTGTTTCTTTGTAAACTGAAATTCCCCTCTCCCCGAAAAGGACGTGAACGAAACAAGCCAGCCGAATATCCGGGATTCTGACGCATGATTTCTGTGATCGAGATTATAATGAATTAGACCAAGGAATGAGAGTGTAAGCAGATCACCCTCATTAGGTAATTGGAATTCTCAGCTGGATCCGATTTCTTGATATTCTACTCGGCAGCTGCCCTAAAGTTGCTTACCTTGTCCTAAGAGTGGGTGTGCGCGCGCGCGTGCGTGCGCGTTTTCAATGCCGTGGAGTGAACGATTCATTTTAGGATATCCTTTGGACACGGGTTAGGCAATTTTAATGTTTTGTTACATGCAAGTAAACATCCGGAAGGAAAAAAAAAGGGGGGGGGGGACGGGGTTGTTTTTAGGCCCATTATTCCTCCGCTTAACATAATGAGTATTGTCAGAAATTTACATTTTTCGATTGCCTTGGTCAAGAGTAGAATGTGAATAGCTAAAAAACAGAGACAGCATTTTATTTTCATACTCTATCCTGATTTCTGGCAATTCAATAAAATTTACTTAGAATTATGAAGTTTACTGAATCACTGGGATGGCTGAGGAGATAGTGCATGAATTGCATGGTGAGCATGACCACTAAAAACAATTCTAATAAGCTGAATTTGAAATTATAAGGAAAGCTTTCAAATTAAGTTATTCGCCTTAGGATGTGAGACAAAATGCAACTCAAGCACAAAATCAATCATACATTTATTTCCACTTTGTAATACATTCTATAGACTTCTAGCTCTTGCTCTATGCAACTGAGTTGAATGAAAAGTTTGATTTTGTTTTATGAATTAAATTCTTCAAGGAGGGCACCTGGGGGGCTCCGTGGTTGAGCATCTGCCTTTGGCTCCAGTCATGATCCCTGGGCCCTGAATCAAATCCCGCATCAGGCTCCCCACAGGGAACCTGCTTCTCCTTCTACTCATGTCTGTCTGTCTGTCTGTCTCTCTCATGAAAAATAAATAAAATATTTTTAAAGAATGTTCTTCAAGGAAGTGTTCCCATGGTAAATTACTTTCCTTAGCATTTCATAAATTTAGATGAAAGATGACACAGATGCCTCCCCAAATATCAAGATTGTTGCCAGCAATCAAATTTGATGTAAGGTTTTAGAATTACTAAAATACCATAGGTAATGGCTGTATTCTATTTGTCAAACTGATGTTCTCAAATAGCAAGGTCAAGTCTTCACACAGAGGATGCATAAACAAAATAACAGGGACACAATATTGTGTCTTTTGCCCTCTATATTTCTATGCCTTGGTACGGGATTAGGCGCAGTGACATTAATCATGTAGAAACAAAGAGTGTTTACGAAGACTTATGACAATGATATATGGAGTTCCTATAGCTCACAAAGGGGGCTCAGGGTGAGGATGGGAGGCACAGAGTAAGAAAGAAATGGAGATTTGACCCACAGCATGAGGAATTGTCAGGATACCAAAACTCAGATTCATAATGTTTCTGCTCAGCCAATATTAAAAAAAAAAAAAAAAACTCATGAAAAAATATTGTGAAACTCATTGTGACTGGAGAGAGAAGTCAGTCAGATACATATCAACTTTCTGTTTTAAGGAATCATCTGATCACATACACCCAAAAAAATTGCCTTACTAATAAATGTCTGTGTTTGGAGAGTATGGTAATCCTCTATCAGTATTATCATGAAAAACCACAAGATGCCCCCTAACACCTTCACGTTTCATTTTTCATCTGTGACCTCATAACTTGCGGGTTTGGGGCATCTTACACTATTGGGTTATGACAGGGGCACATTTAAGAAGTTCCTGTTTTCATCATTCTTCTCTTCTTTATAATATTAACAAATGAATTGCAAACTTAGATGTCAACCTTTAAAATACGGATACCATAATTTTGCCTTTTTTCCTATAAAGGATTGTAGAGATTACATGTAACCAAGTCAAGCAGTTGCAACAAAGACAATGTTGTCCCATGGGGATGGCGCTGGGCAGGTAATAGATATTCATTGATATCTGTAAGAACAAGGAGGGAGAGAGGAGCGAGGGAGAGAATGAAGTTTGAAAGAAAAGTCACAGAACAATGCCCTGTAACCTCTGACCATAAGGTTTTAGAAAATGACATTTGCTTCTCTTTCTGCCGCTGAGATATAGAAGTGCTGGAATTTCTCTAGTTTAACACCAGAGGTCATACTCATCCACAAAATGCATTTAGAATCTCATCAATTAGTCACCTTCATTTCCAGTATCATTTTTTTTAAATTACTTTTTTTTTTTAAATTCTAGACTAGAACAACCGTGTCCCCATGTCTGTGGTATTTCAAGATTGCCAATATGCACATACACATAAGCCCCTTCCCACCCCCTCCCACGCATGCTTAACAGCAGTCTTAGAAAATCTGTTTTCCCAGACCACAGGGGCTTAGAAAAAGCTGTAGGTCCTTTGTACTCGGATCCCTTCCTTTACCCAGATTGACGTTATGCCACCGTTTACAATTCTCTTTTTCCTAGAAATTATTTGTGCGCGCTCTCTCTCTCTCGGTTCATTCTTCCTTCCAAACCAGGACTCCCCTGAATTTGGATGTTTCTAATCTATTTCCAGAGGCAGGCAGAGCAAGTGAGGCAGGGAGCCAGGGCATCTGTTACCCACACTGAGAAGTCTGAGGGAAACTCTGACCTACAAAGTAAATGTTTTTCTGAGATTTTCTTTTTTCTTTACCCCAGTGAGAAAATTATTTGGTAGTGCCAGAGAGGCTGTGATAAGACACAGCCTCTCTGAACTTAGTTCATATAGCAGTAAATACAAATGCAGAATCAGGGAAACATCAGAATTATTTTCTTAGCCCAGTAACAGGCCCACATTTCCCAAAACAGAACCATTAAAAGGCCATAAGAACAGTTCTTTTTAAACCACAGATTGTCCTAACTTCGCAAGAGAGAATCCATATTTGATTTGAAGAAAACTTAAGAATAATTATTATATGTATTCTTTTTACTTCTGCATCATGATCAGAAAGTGTCAAGACCTGAATGAGCTTACTGGTGACAGTCTTGTTCATTTTTAGCCACAGTGCTATTGTTCAGGGACTAATTATCATGTTGGGGCCTATTCATTAACTTCATCAACTTTCCAAATTTTTTCTACTCTCATCTTTGTCTCCAGCTGATTGGCATTATCTGCCAAAGTCTCAGCAGCACCAGCAAAAAAAAAAAAAAAAAAAAGAAGAAGAAGAAGCAGGTATACTAGTTTTGCTAGAACTAAAGTATGTTACATAATAATTAAATAGGTTAAATAATAATAAATAATCAGGTTAAAATTATTGACTAGGATAGGTCTTTTGAAAATAGTCTGCAATTTCATAAATAAATATCCCTTGGCAGCTAGAACCACACATCCAGATCTAGAAAGTCATTTAAAACCAAAAAAACAAACAAAAAATCTTAAAGGGCAGCAGCCCCTTCTAGTTCAGAAAGCTCCTTTGTTGTGTTATTTGCATTTCCCAAGAACCCTTATGGAAGGTAGGAGAGTTTTCATTATCCTCTCCATTTTACAGGTAAGGAATTTAATACTGGAGATATGCTTGGGCTACCCCAGGTCACACACAGGAGTAGCAAGGAACCACCAGACTTCAAACACAGCCTTCAAAGTTTGGCTGCTGAGTCTCTTTCGCATACTTCTAGCATTTCCTCCATAGCAGAAGAATAACCTGTTGACTCATACAGGCTTGTACTCCACTAGTCATCCAGGAATGGACAGTAGTGGCTTGTCATTACCACTTACTTCCTTTGAATGGCCACTGGCATGGCTGGGATTCTGTGATTCTTGACTGTTGTCCTCTTGTCGACTTCATCTGATCATCAGAATAATTTATAAGGATCTATTACAAGTCTGCGTAAAATGGCACTGCTGTATGCATGAAGGTCCAAGGGGCCTACTTAAAAAATAGATTCTGGGCTATTTATACAGTTTTCTGCCCACTTTGCTGGCTGGTCTGGCATTCCTTATTGTTGGCAACATCCCTCGTAGAAGCTGAAGGCCAGTGAAGAGTATATATTGGCACAAACAAGGCTATTTTGTCTTTTTATGTAATGAGGGGGATCCCATGCTCAAGCTCCCTGCCTTGTGACTTGGAGGAACTTGTCAGCAGTCCTGCAGGGACCCAGCCAGTTGCCTTCTTGCTGTTTCTCCCATTATGTCAAAGAGTGGGGAGAACCATGTTACCGTAAGAGCCCCGTGGGGAATTTTTCTAAAAGCTGTTTTTTTTTTTTTTTCTAGTATCTACCCTGCAGGTGTTCCTGCCCAGAAGATTTTGACACCAGACCACAAGAGACTACTAGAAACCGGATCAAACCAATGGGCCCAAGATGATGGACACAGTGGGCCAAATTCACATTGTTCCTTCATTATGCTACATTAACAAACTAAAATCTCCTCCCTAAGGGCACCATGACAGGAAACCCCGAACCAAATACAGAAGAGAAAGGGATGTGGCCTAAGTTTCTAGACACCTCCACCCCTTCCTGAGACTCTCACTGACATTGGGCATCCCCCCTCAGCCTGCAGTCATATCATTTATATCCTCTCAGCTTCTTGATGTCCCTGGAGAATGAGCTCCCTTTCTCCATTCTCTGCCCATTGGATAAATTGTCTGCTTGCCATCAAATACCCTTTTGTTACTTGACTATTTGGCCAAAGGTTCTGAGTAAGAAAGAGTCTACCAGTTTGTTAACAACCAGAGAAAGGAAGTCAAACAGCCGCAGGAAGAGAGAAACCAATATGTCTCACAGCTGGGGTCAAGAGTCAGCAAAAATAGGACCAGAGATATGCAAAACTACCCCTAAATTCTGAGGTCAAAGCTTCCACACGGTGATCCCAAAAGTGCCAGGGTTGCTTAGTGCTAAAACATAATGAGGCTACAAGAGTTCTGGAAGATTTATTCTTTATTTATTTATTTATTCTCCTCCTGAAATCCAGTTTATTTCCCTACTGTTATTTGCTCCTCTTTACAGGATTAGTGCATACAATGCATTAGCTGTTTCTTCTCGTTTCCTCTTAATCCATTCCATGGGTTTATTCATCAAACCCTCTGTTTTCCTTTTGCTTCTCTACTGCTTGCCAAACAGGCTCAGGAAATCATTGTATCCCCTTTGTCTATCTTTGTACTATTGTCACCCCCTCTGGAACTATTTGTAAATCCCCATTCTCCAAGTAATCACCTCAGGACAAGAAGAGAACTGGTGCCCACTTATAGGAAGGGAAAGAATCACAATTGG